GAAACCATAAACACATCCCATCTCATGAGTGTCGTAAAAAGCTTAGGAAAGACCTTGACCTTGCGGCTTCCTATATATGGAATAATCATGTCGTATTTGTACCACATATAAAATCCTCAGGCCAGCGACGGTCAGCAGCGCCAAAGGTGCGAGAAGTGATGATACTGCTATTGTCAATCCGCCTGCCAGCGTAGCGATTCAGGTAAATCTATTCGAATAATAAAGGTGACAAAGGAACACACACTTCAACCTGATTGTAAGTGGATGCTGCGGCCCAAAGACATCTACAACTTTTTTTTATAGGATAGGGTGACAAAATATTTTTAACAGTGGTAGAGCCACGCGGCAGCTTTTGCTGTCGCACGGATGGGCCGGCTCGAACCGGGGTAGTACCACGACCTCACAGAAAACCAGCGTGAAGTAGAGGTTTACCTCTGCGTTTCGCTTGGTGAGTGCAGGTGGCCGGAGGCCCTTTTTACTGGAAATGAGGCATTCCATCTTAGTCCTCACGGGTGACAACGCATCTACATTTTGATTTGTAACAGAGGATAGATGTAGATGTCTATGGGCCGCAGCAACCACTTACCATCAGGTGGACTGTGTGCTCGTTTGTCACCCTCATCCTATAAAAAAAAAACAAACAAACGAGCACACAGTCCATCTGATGGTAAGTGGTTACTGTGACCCATAGACATCTACATCTATCCTCAATAAAGACTCAAGATGCAGATGCGTTGTCACCCGTGAGGACTAAGATGGAATGCCTCTTTGCCAGTAAAAAGGGTCTCCGGTTCCCTACACTCACCATACGTAACACAGCAGCATTAAGCTGCTATTTTAAGCTGGTATTCTGTGAGAGCGTGGTCCTTCCCCGTTCGAGCCGACCCATTTGTGCTACAGCTATACTACTAATATAGCTGCAATATGGCTCTACCACGTATAAACTGTCGTAGATTACGAACCAGATGCGTTGTCACGCCTGAGAACTAAGATAGAACTCCTTGTTTCCATCGATAAGAGTCTCCAATTCCCTACACTCACCATACGAAACACAGCAGTATTATGCTGCAATCTTACGCTGGTATTCTGTGAGAAGGTGGCGCTTCTCCGGTCGAGCTGACTCATTCGTGCTACTTCTTAGACGTACATAGTTTAGCTGCAGCATTACTCTACCACGCATTATATAGCTGCAGCATGGCTCTACCACGTCTAAATACGGATACCCTAATATCGGAGAGTTTCATTGCTATCACTGGACCGACCTTTATTTCTTTAAAATAGGTCAATAGTTTTAAATCCACTAATCACAAAAACAACGAAATGGATTTACATTCAAACTGCACAATAAGTATTTATTATTAAATAATCTTAATATGGGTCGGCCTGGCAAACGCGACCAACCGACCATCGTTGACTCACTTTTTTAAAGGGAAATCCACGTACAGTCATGGGTAAGTATAAACTAAGGGAAGTATTTGACACGAGATATTACCAGAAATTCTTCATAGACCACCTTTTTTTCTTCAGAAATATTATAACTTATTAACAGCGGTTAATCATTAACCAGACATTACTAAGAAATGAGATTAAACCTTTATTTTCTGCCGACTTCCATAAAGGAACCGGTACTCAATTCGACTGTATGTTTTTTTTAATGTGTGTTACCTCATAACTTTTTACTGGGTGAACCGATTTCGATGATTCTTTTTTATTTAAATACTGGTACTTCTCCTGTGGTCCCATATGAATCAAATCAAAGAATCGAAAATGAATTGATCAAGGTCAGACCAATAGTTTTTAAGTAATTCTTAATAACCTATATTGAAGTCGGCTGTACATAATTTTTAATTTTACATTATTAATGGTGACGAATCCGTATGATATAACGAAAGGCAGTCGAAAATTCCAGGAGAACACATAGTTAAATAAGAAACATAATGCTTAGGGGGAAGTCCCGTAACGCCGGACGGCACCTAGCGCCGGACACTCGTACTATTTAAGCGAGTATAAATCTGTTCGATTCAAAATACAAGTGAAAAGGGCGCGGGGGGCACACAGGTACAGGATCACGCGCCGCGCATCGCCAGTGACGCACACGGCCACGGCGGGAGCAACCGTTTGCTGTTTTAGGCGCGAAATCACGGCGTCACCTAAATATCAATGTAAGTAATTCTAGTATATTTATGCATTTACATTTGAGTGGTATACAAAGATAAAAGTAGTACTTGATTGTTATCCGTAAAATGGTAGAATATTATTAGATCTTTTAAACAATTTTAGTAGGTACCACTTAATGAACGAAAATGTCTGTCCCTTAGCACCGGACACTAAGCCGTCCCTTAGCGCCGGACAGTAAACATATTGATATTTCTTGTGAGAATTTATGTCATTTATTCTAATTATTTAATTTTGTTTTAGAGTATAGAAGAAAGAAGATATTTAAAATGGAAGAGAAGAAAAAGAAAGGATCCTGGGAGCTACAGAGCTTACAAGCTGCTATTGATAAGGTTATGTCAAAAGAACTGAGTGTAAGACAAGCTGCAATGCAATACAATATTCCTAAAAGCACTATACATGATAAAATAAAGGCCCTAAATCGAGGAGAAGAAGTAACAATGAAACTAAAGTTAGGTAGGTTCACTAGCACCTTCTCAGCAGAGTATGAACAAGTCTTGGTGGACCACATTAAAGATTTATCGAATAGATGCATGCCGCTCATGAAAAAGGAGTTTCTAAAATTAGCATACGACTTAGCTGAAGTCATGAAGATTCCTCATCGATTTAATAAAGAAAAAGGCAGTGCTGGTAAACATTTTTACTACGACTTCATGAAAAGGCATTCTGACATTTCGTTGAGAGCACCGGAATCGACAAGCATGATGCGCGCCGTACGATTTAACAAACCACAAGTGGATCTATTCTACGACAACCTTGAAAAGCTTATGAAACAGTACAAATTCACACCCTCAAGAATTTATAACTGTGATGAAACTGGTGTCAGTTGCGTGCACAAACATCAAAAAGTTCTCGTTCCGAAAGCCATCCGTCAAGTAGATAAGCTCACTTCTGCTGAGAGAGGCAAAAACATCACAGTTTTGTTCTGTATGAGTGCTAACGGTCACTACATACCCCCATTTTTCGTATTTCCTAGACAAAGAATGAATGAAAGGCTTATGGTGAATGCTCCAGCTGAGAGCATCGGTGTGGCCCAGCCAAAAGGGTGGATGAATAGTGACTTTTTTTTGCAATATCTAAGAATATTCGTCAAACACACGCAACCAACTAAAGAGAACCCTATGCTGCTTCTAATGGATGGCCATTGCAGCCACAAGACATTGGCGGTAATCAATTTTTGCAGAGAAAATCATATTCACTTGATGAGTTCACCACCACACACTACGCACAAGCTCCAGCCTCTGGACAGGACATTTATGAAGCCATTTAAAGATGCATACAGCCAACGATGCGACTTGTGGATAAGAACAAATGCTGGATGTCGGATAACGGATTACGACATTGCTGGTTTGGTCAAAGAAGCATTTATAAAAGTAGCTCGATTGGATATTGCAGTATCTGGATTCAAATGCACTGGAATCCATCCATTTGACAGACATTTATTTTCTGACCTAGATTATTTGGCTGCAGATATGACCAATATACCACTAGAACAAACAGAAACTTCATCGAACGCACTAAACAACGAACAAGCTGTCGTGATATCAAACTTAATCATAGAAGAGCAAATGAAAGAATCTGAACAATCTATTAGTGAGCCTATAACCACAAGTCCCAAACCGTCGACAAGTACTGCTCCCGATCTTGTTCAGATAATCCATAACTTATCACCGTTGCCTGACGCAGCAAAAAAACGAACAGCAGCTCGAAAAAGAAAGAGTGAACGAAGTGAAATTTTAACTTCATCGCCATACAAAAAAGTGGCAGAAGAAAAAGAAAATGAAAAGAACATGAAAGATAAAAAGAAGGAAATAAAATCTAAGTTTAAAGTAGCAATGGGAGGTAAAGGAAAGCAAACCAAACGAATTAAAACCAAAGGAAAGAGCGTAGACAAGGGAAAAGAAGCGACAAACGTGAGACCTAAAGGAAAGAAAGGAAGTGAAGTAGAACCATTAACTGAAACATCTAACACAAACATAACAATTTGCGTAGTTTGCTTAGAAGACACTGACGAAGACTGGATCCAGTGCTCATCCTGTCGTGGGTGGGTACATGAAGCATGTGCAGACATTCCAGAGTGTGGTGATGGCTTCATATATGATCGATGCAGGTTATTTTGAAATGTCCGGTGCTAGGTGTATGGCACAAATATTCGTCCGGTACTAGGTGCCACTTTTTAAAATTATATTTTTTGTTACCAAAGTTTGATTGATAGTATTAATTATTTTTTAGCAGAGGTTGCATTTTTGTTAATTTAATTTGATTTCTAACTTTGTTATCTAATATAAGTCATAATTTAATAAACATTTCTTAAAATATCTTTTGTTTTATTTATAAATAACCTTAGGTGTCCGCCACTAGGGGACTTCCCCCTATCTTCTAAGCTATCTTAAATGCTTTTTCAAAATCGTAACCTATTAATATCCATAAATGATCCATCAGATAATGTTCTCCAGATAGAATTTCGGTTACGGTGGCCAGGCCAACAGAGACTAGCCATCTGCGCGGGGCAGGATTATAGTGCCCAAGTGTATGCCGCAAGCACAGGTGTAGTATCTATTCCCCCACTCTCATAGTTCGATGGAACGGTAACGAAATGACCGCAGAGAGATCAAGCGCAAGAGCAACGCCTTTATGTGCTTTCCAAGGCAGGGAGATCAAACACCAGCAACTTCCTTACTTCTGTCCGCTACTGAGAATTTCTTGACAGAAAAAACCCCATAACTGATTTTGAACCTGAGACCTCATGATCAACAATCACGTTTACAACCACAAGACCAAAGAGGTAGTGATCAGGTAATAAGACAATAATAAACTTCACTCACCCGAGTATAACAAGTTCGCCATATTTAACAAGCGGTTTTGGCTTCTGTTCGGAGCCACTCTCACCGGCCTCCTCCAGTATTGGCGAGTCCGCACTGTCCGCAGCACTGCAAAAAAAAAGAATACCGTTAGGAAAACCCCAAATACAAATCAAGATAGTTGTAGACATGTAATTAATCAACTTAGATTAAATTTCCTTAATTATAAATTCCGCGAAGATCACGTTTTGCAGTTTCGAGTTTATGCTATATTTGTAATATATTTTAATAATAACATTTCATCGCTTCTCGAAGTCATGGTTGCGATCGAGTTATAACCGTATCTCATTCGATGAATTTTATTCACCGATAAATGGCAGTTACCCCCAACACATAAACCTTCACGCCTGCCATCTATAGAGGTTAGCAGAGACTATAGACTTCCCTTTGGCACGATCCTAACACACCTCTCTCGCTTCCTCCACATCCATATACCTACGCATACAAGCTCGTCGATTAATGGTACTCTTACTCCCGACACGTCAACCACATATTCACGTTGTGGGAGTAACTGCCGTTTATAGGTAAATGCCTGGTTACGACAGGGAGACACGTCCAAGACGCGAGGGAATATCAGGTACTGTAGTCGTTATGCTACCTGCTAGATGTGGTGGTTTACGTAAAGAGTATAAAAATAGATATGTGCTAAAGAGATTAAAGCCCTAGATTGGGATATTTCATTTTTTCTCCGGTTCGGCTGTAAGTATCAAACAACTCAAAAACCAATACGCAACCTAACAACTTTTTCAAAGTAGTTTTTAATAATACCGATAGTTAGCAAGCACACGGTCTCTTAATTTTGCAAGGAAAAAGGTTGAGATCATTAGCGAACAAAATAAATGTTGAATATAACACCTAAAATCAAGGTTGTTATTAGCACAGACTAAAATCCGGAATAGATTTATTTGCATACGAATACGTGAATAGTATTAAGAAACAATCTTGAATGAGATTTCTTTATGAATCTTATGCTGATTTTAGAAATTGTATTAGGAGAAAAATATATACTATATTTTATACGTGGTAGTGCCACGCTGCAGCTATGTTATGGTTGTAGCACGAATCGTTCGGCTCAACTGTAGTAGGACCACGCTCTCACAGAATACAAGCGTCAAATAGCAGCTTAATACTGCTGTGTTTTGTATGGTGAGTGTAAAAGAACCGGAGACTTTTTTACTGGAAACGAGGCATTTGATCTAGTCCTCAGCGATGACAGCGCATGAGCATTTTGATTTTTAATCGAGGATAAATGTACCTAGATGTCTATGGGCCACAGCATCAAGGTGGACAGTGTGCTCGTTTGTCACCCTTATTCTATAAAAAATGACTACCCTTTCCAACGTTCGCATGGTTTGGATGCATAAATCTTGATATGTAAGTTGTATAATATATATATAGTATAGTATTGTAGTTATATATTTAAAAATCATTAGTCAATAATGTTTCATTAGTCACATTTATCTTGACTAACCTTTCGACAAAACGAGTTTTGACTATAGTGAAGTATTATACAACGTACATACAATTTTCAATATAAAAATAATAATATTTAGTATATATATATATATATATATATATATATATATATATATATATATATATATATATATATATATATATATATAGTAATTAAATAGTTATAAGCTGCAGTAACTACTTGCCATCAGTTTAGCTCGTTAGTCACTTCAATATTATAAAATCTAAAACTTATTAGTTTAAGTAAATGAAAATATTTTACATAAGAATATTAATTTATTATTGAAAGCAATAATATTAAGAGTATGTAATATTTAGGATATACATTGGGGTTGCGCCCTAAGACCCGCTCCCTATCAAGCTTGTGGTCATAAATTCACTTTTACATTTAATATTTCCACAGAGCGTCGCTTCGTCCCAATAAAATTCATTAATAACAAGTATTGTTGTTATAAATTGATATCAAATTTGAATTAAGACTTCATGTTCATTTTTAGTTAATTATTAAGATATATTTTTGTTTAATTATCACAAAAATAATAAAGACATGGTTATAAATTTGTATATTTAGTGAAATAACAAATAACCTTATTATAATATATAAAACAAAAACAATTACTTTCATATATACGCGTACTCGTGATGTAATTGCTCCAAAATGCATTCTGTATTACTAGTACTAGAGTAAATGCAATGAAAAAATATGTACCTACTTATGACTCTTAAGCTGATAAGAAACTATCATATTGATTAACTTTAAAGGAGTCAAAATATTAAAAAAAATATTTTGAAATTGGAATTTCATAGATTATTTAAATATATCATAATCTTTATATATAAAAATTAAGTGTCACGTTGTTTGTCCGCGATGGACTCCTAAACTACTGAACTGATTTCAATGAAATTTTGCACAATATGTGCAGTTTGGTCCAAATTGAGAGATAGGATAGTTTTTATCCCGATAAATGAGCTCAATATGTTTTATTACGAATTTAAGAATTTTTTATAGGACTAAAGGTCGTCGGAGAGGGCAGAACAACGTCTGACTGGCGAGATAGTATAATATAGATCATCATATAGTATTATATAAACCGTTATTCTGTTTAAAATAATAATTTCAATATAAATTTACAAATGAACTGAAAAAAATATTGCGGTTCCGTTTTAAATGGAATCACCCTTATGTTACTCAAGATACTTATAAACTTGATTAAAAAAAAATATTAAGCCTTACACAATAAAACCCACGGACTATACATTCACGGTAATCGCTCGCGCCCACAATCACCCACAAACTTCCGCCCCGAAATTATCATTTCATATCACGGGTCAAAACTTAAGACGCGGACCGGTCGGAGACAGCTGTGGGTCAAGATTACCGATATAAATTATGGGCAGCCACTGGAACCGGTTAGGGGCCATGCACTGACACTTACGTAAGCCGTGTCGTGTATGGCGCGAGGAAGTCAGTCGAACTGCATCAGTACAAATGTTTATTAATTTATTATCTTTACCAGCAAATTGGTAACCTTGATAAGTTTCAAGTTTATATTTTCGATTTTACGGATATAAAATAAATAACCATTTCTCAAATGTATATATATTGTAATGTAATTTACTTCTTACAAATGCAATTTTCCTATAAAATTCATGCATGTAATAAAATGAGTAAAGTTATGAACAAGTTTCTTTTTAAGATAGAATTAGTTTTCCAAGTTAACGAACTATAATTTTGTTTAAAACACACACAAGTCGTTATTGTTATTATATGTACTTGGTATGGTCAACTTTCCAATGTTTCATGTTTTTTTAGGTTATCCACCAAACTAACTACAATCAACTACAAAATTTAAAACGCTAAAAATGTTTCCCTCAGTGTTAATTTCTGGTAACCACATATTTAAAACCTAGTGTTATAGTTACGGCGGTTGCAGATTTTTTAAGAACGTCAGTTAAATACTAAAACTATCTCCATAACGTCCATGTCGGACAACCCTTCATCAACACACTCATTGTGATATTTAAAAATAGTAAAGTAATTATATACGTGGTAGAGACACGCTGCAGTTATATTAGTAGTATAGTTGTAGCACGAATGGGTCGACTCGACCGGGGAAGGACCGCCCTCTCACAGAGTACCAACTTAAAATTGCAGCTTAACGCTGGTGTATGTCGTATGGTGAGTGAGAACCGGAGACCCTTTTTACTGGTAACTAGAAATTCCATTTTAGCCCTCGGGGGTGAGAACGCGTCTGCATTTTGATTTGTAATCGAGGATAGATGTAGATGACTATGGGCCGCAGCAACCACTTACCGAGTTATCAGGTGGACTGTGTGCTCGTTTGTCACCCTTATCCTATATAAAAATATACGTCCAAGAGGTCTTTACTCTTCTTATCGTAGAGAAATATTTAATTTCTCAGACATGTAGATTTCTCCATCCAGCTAGTGATAAATCAGCACTTAAAACAGCAATTAACAACTTTATTGGTACCGCGGCCCTTTGATAACTGTAATTAACAAATATTATTCTTGAAACAGCATTAACAAACTAGTGTTTCGTTCAACCATTAAAGAGAACACCTGGCAGCTGGCAGCGTAGTACTTATACACTGCCCGTGAATTTAAATCTAATGTCGCATGTCATGATTGGTTAGTGCGAAAGCGATGCAACGTACGTATTAATATTATGTTGTATGTCGGGTATACAAGTTAATATGCTGTCGATAAAAATGTGAAAATAAGTTTATGTAACGTGGAAAATAATAATAAAATGTTATAAAATCAATCAAACATCGTAGAGATTGGATTACATTAAAACGGCTAATTTTAAATCAAAAAACGACAAATTTTATTTTCCTTAATTTAATTCTTCAATACAATGTATTAATTTTGCTTTCATTCTTGTATATATTCTTGTTTTTGTATTATTTCTCTTTCTTCATTTTGTAAGAAAATTACTTAAGTTAGCAAACCCAAGCATTAACCCATATAAAAAATTGAATTTTCAAGTAACTGTACTTATTACATAGAAAAGTTTAATGATAGCGCAACCAAATTAAATCATTAATAATTGGATTTTGAATATGTATCACGATCATGAATAATATTTAACCATCTACGGATCTGGTTATAACGTACATAATGTCAACTAATATCGATTGCCTCGTTGGTCTAGTGGTTGTAGTATTGCTGATCATAAGGTCCCGGGTTCAAATCCCAAGTCGGCCCAAAAATATCAATTATTGTGGTTTTTCCATCAAGAAATTCTCAGTAGCTGCCCGGAGTCAGGAAGTTGACGGTGTCTCACCCCCGTGTCTCGGAAACACGTAAAGCCGTTGGTCCTGCGCCGGATCTCTGTCCGGTCGTACCATCGGACTATGAGAGTGAGGGAATAGAGAGTGCACCTGTGCTTGCACATATACTTGGGCGCTATAATCCTGTCCTCCGTTAAGGCTGGTCGCCGTGAACGAAATTCGGTCTGGACGACATTCTACATAATATACATTTTATTTTTGACAGCAGGCTCCATAAAAAATCAGCAAAATTCCATCACTAACCTCTGACCATCGTACTGCATAGATTAAATTAAT